CATATTCATCAATATATTTCATTGAAAGTGTCTGTCTTTTGCTTTTGCCATTGATCAAAACTCATGCATACATGTTTATTTTCTGTCTTGCATATTAAACTCCAATTATTTTGTTATTAAGTCTTAGCTAATCAACAAATCACATAACTAAACTAGGCCGTGAGTCCTTTGGGAGAATGATACTTGGTCTTACCGAGTTTATTACTTGAAACGATTCGGTCATACTTGCCGATTGTTCAACAAGTTTGTGACATCATATTTTGGTGATCATAAATTTGTCTATCACTCTCTTAACTCAAGGATTTTGTGATCCGAAAAAACCAATTTTCTTTTTAGCCCAACCACGTTACAAGCCATAGAAAAGCCCTTGTGATGATACTTGCTTGCGAGTGTGTTTGATTGTGGTTAAATAATGAAAGGAAAAGTTGATTCATGTGACATTGTGATAGTAGAGTGAATGAGTCACCTCTTTATACACTTGTGTGTTTGAGAGAAACACTTTTCTTGGTGAGGAATAGTTCCATGTATGCATGATTTCATCTTTGCTTGGTTGATCATTCATGAGCATAGCATCTATTGAATATTTTGTGATTATATGAGCACCACAATGAGCTTAATTGAATCAAGGCATTTATCCATCTTGATTGTTATTCTTTATGATAAACTTATTTGAGCAATTACTTGTTTTGAAAGAAAAGGTTTTGAAATTGTTGAAACCATTGTATGGATTGGTTGAAAGCTAAGTTACATTTTGTTTGCTTGAGGACAAGCAAAGTTCTAAGTTTGGGGTTGTGATAACGGTTGAAATACCATTATTTTTATACTTAATTTTGATATTAAAAACACCCTTTATGATTTAGAAACTAGCTTGAACTCATGTTTTTGCTTTAGTTTTGTGAATAAGAAAGTTAAGGTTATACTTGATGATTTTATCACTAAATTCTCTTGATTTTGTAGGCTATTGGAATGATTTGAAAGAAGTTAAAGTACAAAATAGTTGGAATGCAGAAAACTCAACCAGAATGTAGAAAAGTCAACCAGAATGCAGAAAAGTCAACCAGAGTGCAAAATAGTCAACCAGAATGAAAAGTCAACCAGAGTGCAGAAAAGTCAACCAAAGTGTAAAAAAAAGGACGTTGAGCGCTAATTTCTTTTGTCTCACGCCTAAGCGCCACCGTTGAGCGTCAATTTAGTGTCACAGCTACCGCTGAGCACCCTTTTGGGGCGCTGAGCGCCAACGACGTGGGCTTGGACCTGTTTTCTGTTATTTTTATGTTCTATTTAAGGACTTGGACGTTCTAGGGTTCACATCTTTGGACAGAAAGAGGCAAAAATACACTCCTTTCACCCCTTGGAGGCGGATTTTAGATGCGGAAGCTCCGATCTTCAACTTTTAGGGTTTTATCTTTCATTATTTTTATTATTTTCATCTAGTTTCACCATGTCTATGGTGAACTAAACCTCTATTGTTGTTGGGGAAACGATGTAATCCTTTGAAACTCTCATGTATCGAATTGATTCTTATTATAAAATGCTTTACTTCATTAATTGTTAGGGTTTTTCCTCTAAACTCTATGCATGCATTGTTTAACTAATTCAATTGCATGATTATTGATTTTGTCACTATGGACACATATGAGAAAATCTAGAACTGGGGAAATTCTCTCAAAAGTAATATTACCTAGACAGAGGGATAGGAGGGTTGGTTGCCTTTAAGCTTCTGTGCGAATGTAATGCATGATTAATTGTTAGGGATACAAGACATTGTAATTTAGTAATTAGGAGTAGGCTTTCTTCACCGAGACATCGAGTTTAAGGTAATTTAGAAAGTGACATTAACATTAATGAAGAAGATGAATGCATAAATACATGAGAGTGGATAGGATAAATCGAAAACCCCAACAACATAATCATTCCATATTTTATATCAATCACCTTTGCATCTTTCAATCCAATTGATCAAAACTTGCATTCATATTTAATTTCCACAATATAAACACAATGATTTTGTTTACAAGTCCTAATTAATCAAGAAACCATATGAATGTTTAGGCCGTGAGTCTCTAGGGAAACGATACTTGGTCTTACCAATTATTATTACTTGATACGATTCGGTACACTTGTCGAAGTGTTAACAATCTCCTTCTCATAGAAGGTTTACATTCAGATATTGTGTCTCCATTAGTGGTAACTTGATCTCTTGGAAAAGCAATAAACAAAGTGTTGTGGTAAGATCTAATGCAGAAGCATAATACGGAGTTTTGGTTTCAATCACTTGTGAGTTTTTTTTTTTTTTTGCTTAAGCAATGCTTAGAGAGTTACAATTTGGAGATGTCACTCAAATGACACTTATATGTGACAATTAGGCTACTTTTCATATTAGTTTCAATGTTATCTTTCATGAGAGGATCAAACAAATTGAGATTGACTCTTATTTCATTAGAGAGAAGATTGTATCTGGAGACATCAAGACTGAGTTTATTAATTCAAGTGCTAAAAATTGATTATATTTGTAACAAGTTTGGTACATTTGATTTGTATACACCAACTTGAGAGAGAGTGTTAGATATATTATATTATTAGATATCTTAGATAAATATCTTATCTTTTATCTTTAGTTAATTTGTTATTATTCATTATTTGTATTTTGGACTTAGCTAGTATTTTTTCTATTATAAATACAATACTCTATGTGTATATTTAACACAAGGAAAATTAATCTCATACGTATATAGTTTTCACAATACTGAACGCATATGAATATTGTTTTTCTGTCTTCGCGGGCAACGCTAGGCTCGAGGTCCCTAATGTTGAATGTCGTTATAGGGATTTTGGGAAGTATATATAGCTTTTGTTTCACTACTGTTGAGCGGTGGTGTGTCATTAGGCATTAGAATTCTAGTGGTTAATGGGTATCGGGTGATAATTTGATGAAATATTTACTTTCTAGAAGTAACTTATTATTTATTATATAGTTCCTCTTTTCATATTACAACTTGTAGTGATGATTGTATTGAATTATTTTTGTAAATATAAAATTTTTGTGAACTTGTTTGGTTTGATAATGTGAAGTTTGAGTTCTAGTAGTTATTTTTAAGAGAAAATATTGTTGTTTATTGTGTTGAAGGGGACTTTGGGAGTATGAGTAGAATGAGACTCTACATGACAGATAGTATAATATGAAAAATTATTATACTTAGAGAGCTATTAGACATTGGTATTGAGTAATGAAATATTAATGGAAGACTTTGGTAGCAAGACAAGTGTAAAGTTTTAAGATTCCATTCAATACACTAATATTTTAGAAGGAAAATTTTAGTTTAGATATGTCATCTTCATCGTTAGATTTTTTTTTTACATCAAATATTTATTTGTACAATCTTTATAAAAGATATAATATATTTAAATTGATTTATTTTTATGAAAATTAGCTCATTTTTGCATTTGGTGTGTCTTTTATTTTGTTTTTTTTGTTTTTTTTTAATTATAGTATATTATATATATGGGAGTACAAATAGGATTTAAGGAAAACAATAACACGGAATTGAATAGAAAAAAATGAAGAAATTAATTCAAAAACATTGGATTGTAGTTTTTTTTTTAATTGTGTTAATTCCATAACTTATATTTTGAAATACTTGTGTGTTTGATAATGTTTATATTTTGAAATACTTGTGTATTTGATAGCGTATTTTAAAATATGTTGTGAATACAAAAATATGTATTAAATAAAGAAATAAAGAAAATAATTATTTTTGTAATATTAAAATTTGTATCAAATTTATTTTGTATAATTATATATTCATGAAGATCAAGAATGAATATTTAAAAAATTATAAAAGACTTAATACAATAAATATAAATATTTGTTTAATAAAAAGCTAAAGTATAAATAGAATTTTTATTCTAAAAAATTAATTTTACATCAACTCAATTTTGTTATTAAAAATTGTAATGTGAATCACGTATAATCATTAATCATGCATGACCATATGATAATTAAGTACTATTATATTATGTTTGTTATAGAATTTTTTAGTATTAAAGAAAATATAATTGAAACTTTTAATGATAATTAGATTTCAAGAACCTCCAAGAACTAATACTAATTTTTATTCACTTGCTCTAACTCAAATTGATCAAAGAGTACGATACATTACTTTTTGAATGGTTTAAATTAAGAAAAATGACATTTTAACTATATGAAATTGCCAACAATTTTAATTTTTATTATTTAAAAAATAAAAATATTCTTCACCTAACATGACTAATAGAATAACAGTCCATTTATAACTATTGTTTGGAAGAAGAATTAGAATCCTTTAATTATAGAAATCAGCGATCTAATTTTAACCCTAATAAAAAAATTATCGAAATTGAAATTAATGTGTAGCATGCAGAAGCAGCCTCCACCACCTTTTGTTTCATTGGCGGTGGAAAAGAAATTAGAAACCCTTCACCCTCTCGTATATATATATATACTGAAGCCCATTTCCCTCGAAATTCTTAATCGTTACTCTCTCTTTCTCTCGCTATATTCCGTTCTCTTCATCGAACAACTTCTTCGCCGGCGGCGATATCTCCGGCCGCCGCCTCGTGGTTCTCCTCCAAATATTCCGTTCATTGCTTCTCATTTTTCTTATGCGTTTGTTCGTTCAGGTTCGTGTTTGTCATGATCTTCAATTTTATTTTAATTCTCTCCTTTTATTCAATGTGTCCGGCTCCAATTATCCGTTCAGGTTCGTGTTTTGTGATCTTCATTTCTTTTGATTCGTTCTTTATATTCAATGCCGTGCCTAATTTATTCGTTCAGGTTTGCGTTTTAATGATATTCAATTATTCCAATTGAAATAATCTTCAGTGCTGCGTGTTTGGATAAATTTTCTCTATTTTTGTGGCGTTTGAGATCTGTCTGGTGTTTGCTTTTGATTACCTTTCTATCTTTTCGGATGTGTTTTCACGTTTGCAATCAGTGCGTCGTAAACAGAGAGCCTAGTCTGTGGAATTAGGGGAATGTGAAGTGTTTTGTTTGAATGTGTATTTCTGTGTTTATCGCGTTCTTCGTTGAGATTTCAGAAGGATGATGCAATGCTTGAAACTTTGTTTGAACGCTAAGATATAGGATAGAAATTAATCGACACCCTTCTCGAATATTCGATAGCGTTTTTGTTTACCAGCTTGATGTATGATTTTCTGGAGATTTTTGGTTGTTGAATGTGTGCCTTTTATCTACTCAATTTTCTAATTTAAAATTTTCGAAGTTTTACATTGATTGTTCCCTAATCTTTATTTTTTTATATAAGATTGGCATCATGTCATTGGAGTGGCTATTATACAATTTAGGCCTTTGTTTTATATCTTTGCTAAACGGAAAATAAATGAGATACTGGCTCACTTTTTACCAATTTCAATGCTAAATAAAGATCTTGGGATTAATTTTCTGATTTACATCAGTCTCGGATTATTTCATTATTTTGTTTTGAATGAAACACTTATCTGATTATCTATATATGATTATTTCTCTAGTCCTCCATTTCTTTTTTGTCTTATCTTTATCAAACTATCTATTTCCCTTGGAAGGAACTTGGAAGGAGAGAGAATTTCTTGGATATCATTTTGATGATTTAAACGTTTGTTTTTTCAACTACTTTTCAGGTCTTGAATTCATAAATAAAGGAAACTTAATATTTGAAGTTAGTCTTTGCTGTACTCGAAGTTTTGGAAGCTTTTCACAATGAGTGCAGCTGAAGATCTTGTGAACAAAACAGAAGGTGGTGGAAAAGAAAGCCAGGACAAACACATCACAGGTCCTACAGAAGATCCTGTGAAAAACAATGATGATTCTTCTGTAAATCCTGTAAATCACCAGACAGCAGGTGGTGATGAAAATCTTACAAGCGATCAGTTAAAGGGTCCAGTAAATATTGTGAACTACCAAGCAGGTGGGGCAGAAAGACCTGTAAGTGGCCAAACAGATGTTGAACGAAATCTTACTAGTGAACAAGTGGGTATTGCAGGAAATATGGTAAACAATCTAGCAGGTGTTGCAGAAACTCCCGCAAAGGAACACATTGCAGGTGGTGCAGAAAATTCTGTACACAATGAAGCAGGGGCATCAATAAGTGGTATGGAGGACGAAGCTGGTGGTGTAGAAAGTCCTATAAACAGCATTGTAGTTGCTGCAGAAATTTCTGTAAGCAACCAAGCAAATGCTACAGCAAACATAAAAGAAAATGCAGTTGAAACCCCTGTAGCCTGCAAATCAGATCGCCTTCCGGAAGAAGCACAGGAGATACTGAAATCATTGGCTAGTCACTGGGAGGATGTACTTGATGCAAATGCATTGCAGGTCTTCCCTCTCAAAGGAGCAATGACGAACGAGGTATTTCAGATAAAGTGGCCAACTTCGACAGGAGAAACTTCACGAAAGGTTATTGTTAGAATTTATGGCGAGGGTGTGGACGTGTTCTTTGATAGGAGTCAGGAGATTCAAACATTTGAATTTATGTCAAAGAACGGGCAAGGTCCTCGTCTACTAGGACGGTTTGCAAATGGTCGTGTTGAAGAGTTTATCCACGCACGGGTAATTTGATATATTTTATAATTTAAGTCCTAATAAATGTGCCTAGTAATAAGTTATTATCTGGTCCATGAATGTAAACTGTAGATTGAACGCATTGTGCACAACTTCTCTAAAGTACACCCGCTTTTCATAGTTTATCCTGCTATATAAATGATATGTAAAAGTTAAGCACTGTTCCTTTCTTTTTTAATTGACCTCTGCACGCTAGTTAAGAACTTGACATGCTCATATATTTGAGGGTGAATTTATCAGACATTATCAGCAGCTGATCTACGTGATCCTTCCATTTCTGCTCTTATAGCGGCCAAATTGAAGGATTTTCATGATTTAGATATGCCTGGTGAAAAGGAAGTCCACCTTTGGGATAAATTGCGGTATGTGCTATTTGAACACCTGATCCAGCATCTCCATTGAAAGTGTACATAAAGAAAGTTTATACATGTTGAAAAGGCAATAAGGGACCAGCTCTTTTATAAATTTTATTTAAATAATATTATTTGATACTTCCATATTTTAGTTACTACTTGATGATTTCTCCATTGTTTCAGAAATTGGCTTAGTGAAGCCAAACGTTTATCATCCCCTAAAGAAGTTGAAGCATTTTATTTGGACACAATAGACAAAGAAATCGCCATGTTGGAAAAGGAACTATCAGGCTCACACCAAATGATAGGATTTTGTCACAATGATTTACAATATGGTAACATAATGCTTGATGAAGAGACCAATTCTGTGACCATCATAGTGAGTTTCTCTTTGTGCTAGTTTATGGGGGAAATGCTGTAAATATTTAATGTTTCAAGGGTGCTTCTATGAGGAAATAAGTAGTTCTTCTATCATAATAGAATTTCTGGAAGTTTCAAAATTTTTTTCGTATATGTTCATAAAATCATTTTCTCAGTAGTAGCAATTTTTTGCATCATAAAATGTCTTGTGGACCCAGTTTATTGATATGTACCAAAAGTTATGGATGAATTGTACCTGTCAAAAAGACTAGTTGCACAAGGTTACGGGCAATGGTCCAAAAGATTAAGCATGTTTTATTACTATAAGTCCTGCAACTCCCCGCCAAAAAAGTGTGTTTGGTTCTTGGCTTAAAAAATTATTCCTACGAATGTGAATTCAGAATGTAATATTCCCATATTTGATATTTGTTGTGAGTTTTAAAAAAAAATTATTAGTCTCAATATTTTTCATGTCCAAGAATGTAGTAATACCTTGTTCATTCTTTCCCATAGTAAGGGTTGGCAACTGGGAACTTTATATTCTCTTAGGAAAATGGGGAAGTCATGTTCTAACTCAATTGTAACTTCTGTTTCCACTTTTACTTTTTATATCATCATTATGAATTGTAGAAATATATGTATTTATCCTTGATCAAAAGTGGAAGAAAAGGATCATTATAAGGAATACCGTAATGATGATGGTATTTTATATGTGGGTGCAAAACTTTGGGCGATCGTAGTTATAGCTTGATGAATGTTACTGTTTCTTTATTACTCGTGCTCTCTTTTATATTTCTTTGGAGAAAGGGAATCTATTTAACTGATGTCATGTAGGATATGAGATTGTGAAATCTGAATGATGAAATATATCTTGTACTTTTCCTTTTTTTTGTTTATTTATTTAAATATATAAACTGGTTTATTCTTAGTATTATTTTTAAGGGATCAAGACACCACAGTCAGCAAATACGATTTAACGACACTTTTTTGTAATAGGACTATGAATACGCTAACTATAATCCAGTAGCATTTGATATAGCCAACCACTTCTGTGAGATGGCTGCTAACTATCACACAGAAGAGCCTCATATCCTTGACTACAATAAATATCCAGGTATTGGGCCATCTGGATGTTATTTTACTTGCTTTCATTCATTTGATCTTTTTCTGTGAAAAAATTACTTCTATTTCTATGGTTCTCTTGACAGATTTTGAGGAGCGTAAAAGATTTGTGCTGGCATACTTGAGTGCCTCTGGTAATGAATCACTTCAAATCACTCTATGGTGTTAGAAGATTGTAGCATTGTAGTTCTTTTGTCATTGAAATTGATTGATTTATATTCTACATCAAAACATGAAATGAAAAATTGGTGTTTGCTCTCAGATTGCGGATATTGATGATCTATTTCATGATTGGATTAACCAAGTTGTATCATTCAAATTAAACAAATTGTAGAGATCAATCATAAATATGTCCTTGTATGTGATCACCTGTATAACCATGCATCTCCTTAAGGACTGTAATTATCGTGTCGTGTGGATCTTGAGTGCAGGTCAACAGGGCAGTGACAATGAAGTGGAGCAACTACTTCAAGAAATTGAAAAGTATACACTTGCAAATCATCTATTCTGGGGCGTTTGGGGAATAATCTCGGTATATTCAATTTCTCAGTTTATTTTTGGTTTAAATTATGCTCCTTAGCAGTATCGGATGCGTGTAGCTGAGTCCTTAGAGAGGGAAAAGTTATTCCATAAAACCGTTTCCATAAATGTGCCCTATTTCAATAAATATAAACATTATGGGTGGGCTGCTGAAAAAAGTGGCGGAATTTTTCCGATGTGTAAATTGTTTTTGTTGGTAGTGTTTATCATTATTACAGCTGATGAAACTATTGGCAACTGAATTTGCTACTGATGCGGAATATGTTCCGTCGAAAGTTTTTATGTTAGGTGTCTCTTTTAGATGTGGATTTAAACAAGGCTTTTCATTTTATTTTATTTTTTGGGAAAAAATTAAAATTTGGAGCTCTTAAAATTTAAAATAAACTTTATCTCTGAGTCTATCTGAAATGCATTTTATTTTGTGGCAATCACTCGTGTATATAGAAATGACTAACCCAAAAGATCATAGTGACAAGAAAGAAATATTGCACCGCATAAACGGGCTGCAGTATACTGTGTTTGGGTCTTTATTAACTTCAAAATTCTCCCATCTGAGGTGCACGTATTATGCACTTAGTTGCCACAAGCAAATGTGAATTTCTATACATTTAACTATTACATATCCAATGTATACTAAATATTAGCCACCGAGTAGTAAAGAGGGTGGTGATTTTGTTCTCATTCTTCATTGTCTCATCTTCTGATTAATTTGTTCAGGCACAAGTAAACACAATCGACTTTGACTACAAGGAGTATGCTAAACAGAGATTTCAAGAGTACTGGGCAAGAAAACCTTATCTTTTAATAAACTCCGAATCACCTTCTCCGTATAATGCGCCCGAAGGTACAGGTATTTGATTCGAATTGTTTTATGTTACTGCTTTGGGAATAGAATCAATAGGTTGCTGTATCCTAATGACGGTAGACAATTTATTTGTGCGATTCGTAAATGTAAACAGGTAACGTTCCAATTATGGTAGTTCTGTTGTTTGATTCTTAAATGTAAGCAAATAACAGTACAGTGATGGTAGTCGATCTTGTTATGTGATTCTTAAATGCAAGTTACTTGGAATGGAAAGTGTTAGCTGATGATGATTAGTATTGTTTTAGCATTACAAGCCATGGAAAATATGAACACAATGTATTAGCAGTAGACTCAAAAATAATTTGGTTACCGTTATCTATTTCTTTTTATGTCTCTATTAGTTATTATTCATAAATGAATTTAGGTAAATAGTTTTATAGATAAGTTTGGGTATGCATGGACGAGTTTCTACTATAGGAGAGAAAAATAGGAAAAGAGTTGAAATTGATTTTTCTAGTACATGATTTTTTTTTAATTTTTTTTTAAATTCGTGTATAAGTCAAAAGCTCGATTTTTTTTTTCTTTCCTATGACAAAGTAAGTGCCAAAACTCGTCCTAATAGATTCTATGCGACTATTAAGAAAAGGAACCAAAAGTTGTGATAGGTTTCAAGTTTGTGTTGGAAAAAGACTATATTGATAGTTGATAGCATTTTTCATAGTGCTTGGTATGATTCACAGCAGTATACAATGTAATGCATTTCATATGCGCTGTATTATATATTTCGATTTTGACGGAGGAAGTTGACCAATTTTTATTATGTGTTTGTACTATCATAATTAAGTAATAAGATAAAATAGATTTTGATGTCTTGGAAATTTTCAAAGATTAATTTAGTTCTTTCAAAACAGTTTGTCCATATTGCGTATTCTAATTTTTGTTCTGAAAGGACTCTAGAGATTGGTTAAACAGTGAAATAAAGTTATTTATATACTTTTTGAAAAAACATATAATGATTAAATTAGACAAGAAAAATAATCTATTACTTTCTCAAGACGAAAATGTACTTTGTTATGTAACTTGTCTAATTTTACTATTTCTCATCCAAGAGCATTAAATAAATTTTTGTATCAGTGATGCTTTATTTAATTTTGTTTCAGTAATGTATTACTCTCTTACAAGACCATTAGTTATTTGAGTATGTATATTGATTTATAATTTATTTTTTGTTTGTTCTTGACGTTGTGTTTTAGTGTGTGTGTGTGTGTGTGTATATATATATATATATATATATATATATATATATATATATTTTAATTTTCCTTATAAAATCAATTTTGAATTAGTCTATATTCAAAATATTTTAGAATAAAAGCAAAGGATCAACATAACATAGGGGTTAGAATGAAAAGCTTGATTGGTTAAGACAAAAACAAATTAAAAATGCAAAAAACATTTTACGAAAATTATGTGAGTAAAAGTTTTAGGAGTAAAAATAAATAATGAGCATTTTAAGGATTAAAAATGTTTTGTGTTATTTTTAAGCGAGGTTTATTATTTTTTTGTAATGATTGATTGGTAAATAATGTGGCAGGAGAACTAGCATCAGCAGCTCCCAGCCACAAATCAAGGAACTCTGGTATCTTCAGGAAGATGAAGAGAGTTTTGGGTCTGGGTTTGTTCAGGTCCAAGAGCTAGAACATAATTTTTCCACTTTCTCTTTCATTCAATATTTCCATTACACATAAATTATTACATTTCCATATTATATTTCATTCATTCCATATTATATTTCCACTTGTAAGTATTTATTAAATAAAAATTTAGTTTAAATGCAATAAATTAATAACTTTTATTTACTTATATCGAATTTAAGTTACTTGATCACAGTATAGTTTTAGATCTTTATAATTTACTTTTATTTATTTAGTTTCATTACATTATTAATGAAGACATTATTGCTAAGAGGAGAGCAGGGAAAGCTTTTCTTGCTAATCAGGTGCGAATCCCGGGATTAAATTTCTGTATCCGGAATTGAATATATAATTGATAGGTCAAAATATATTTAATAAATTATGAATACCGACCAAGTTGAAAATTAAAGTTAACTATTATCGTTTTATGCCAACCAGTGCATTTTTAGATCATTACTATGTTACTCATCACATGTCTTTATCTCACATACTCTTTTGCTCTTTTATTTGTGATCTTCCTATTCATCTCTGTCATTCCTTTTTATAGTACAAAATTGTTGTTAACTACTAATCTATATTTGACGGCTAACATAAATGAAGTCTTATGATGTTGCAAAATGTTACCCTTTTTTTCTTTTTTTCTCTTCTAATATTCATCTTTTTGCATTAAACCTCTTATTTCCATTGTATCTTAATTTTGTCTCTTCTAATATATTTATCTTTTGCTTTCATTTCTTTATTTTACATTTTTACAAAAGTTTAATAGATATTTGACAATCAATAATATAATAAATTTAACAAATAATAGATTTTAGATGACTCTCGTATTATATATCTAGTAAATATATTCCAATACTTTTAAAAATAATAAATACATAGGAAAAACTACACAAATGTAATCACCATTTGAAAACTTCTTCTGTTTGCAACATTAGATCGCATTTTACTTTGTTTGAATATGGTGAGAAAAAATATTGATGATTTTATAAGTTTGAATCTTAAAAGAAATATGCATACTAATTTGAATTGAACAATTTCATTAAAAATAATTTTATAAGTTTAGGAAACCTTAGTTCACTTTTGATAAAATTAAAATTTTTAATTGAAATGACATGTATTGAACTCTGAAGAGTAAAAGGTTTTCTTAAAAATAGAATAAAAGTTTAACTAATTTAATTGGGTCTTGAAATATTATCAAAATTTACTATTTTAGACATTCATTCGTATGCATGTAACAATAAATGTTTGCTTATATTTTGAATATTACATTATTTATCTGAATAAAATACTGCAATGAATTATCAATTTGTTCATACCAGTAAGAAATCTTATAAAAGTAATCTATTTTATAAAAGTTTTCAATCCATGACGAATCATAAAATTATTAGCGTGAGTATCCATTTGATTTGCCCCATATATACAAAACCCATCAAATAAATTATTTTAGTTATTATAGAAAACAATAAATATGGTTACATTACGATAAAAAAAGATTATGAGAATTTAAAATTAATAGTCACATATTATATATATAATGTAATCATTAGATTTTCGAATGAGAGAGACACGGAGAAAAATCAAGAATTTTTACTATTTCTTATATTCATGAACTCAATTCAATTTAGGGATATTTTTTATTCATAGTTTTGTTCATAAGAAGAGTTTTATAAAACTCTTTGGACTTTCAAATTTGGAATACCTTACTTTCACATAATTATAAGAGTTAAAAAGCAATCAATATTTTACGATCAAGTATATAGTACTTTTATTCTTATATATTATATTAACAATCGAAAAATAGTTCAAAGAAAAATCCTATTTGACAATCTATGAATTTCACTGGATCCAAAAATAATATATTGGAAGAATCATTTGAGTCTTCTAACACAATAGTTAGATTGTTCCGTTTGTGTATCTTTCAAAAGGAAAAAAGATTTTTGAGAGTTATTTCCTAAATCAGAAGAGACTACTCAAGTTTTCTCAATAACTAAAAACTAAAAAGTATATAATGCTCGAATTTAACTTTTGTAGTTAACATATTTAAAATATTTTTAATTCAATTTCTATATGTTTATTTGGATGATTAAGTAAAATATATATATATAT